CCCCGTCGGATTTTGGCGCTCCTCCCCCCTCGGTGAACAGGTCCTCGCCCACCTCGGGCCCTGCCTCCCCCCCCCCCCCCCCAGGACTGGCCCTGTGAGCCCCCTTTCTAGTGTGTGCGCTCCGGGCAGCTCTTGTGGCCCTTTTGCACCTGGAATGAGGGAGACTGGGAGGGAAGGGGGCGCCCCAGCAGTGAGACCCTGGAGCCTTCCCTTCGGAAGGCTCGGAGAGGGGAGGGGGGAGGGCTCCAGCGGGGAGGACGCGGGTGGAGGGCGCGGTGTGCGCCGTGGCCTGGGCTGACACCCCTCCCCTCCAAGATGCTGTGGCGGGGGAGGCAGGTACCCCTGCACCTGTCCCCGAGCCGTGGGTACCGCCCAGATCGGCACCGGAGCCAGCGTCGCCCCGGCCCCCGCCCCCGGTAAGCGCCTCCTTTAAGTGACCGCGGGCGGTGGCGGGGAGGGGCCTGGGCCGGCAGGGGAGGCGTGCGCTGACCCCACCGTCTCCCACCGCCGGCGTGGCAGCCGAAGCCCGAGGCCTGGGTCCCCCCATCGGGACCGCCCGCGCCCCAGGTGGAGGCGGAGGAGAAGGCCGAGGTTCCTGGGAGCCGGGAGGCTGCAGACAAGGCTGCTGGGGAAGAGCGCGCGCCCAAGGAGACGCCTCGGAAGGAGGAGAGGCCTCGGAGGGAGAGGCCGCCGAAGGAGCAGAGGCCGCCGAAGGAGAGGCCGCGGAGGGAGGAGAGGGCTCGGAAGCAGGAGAAGCCACGGGCCGCCAGGGAGCCCCGAGGAGCCCTACCGCGGCGCTGGGAGGCAGGCGAAGGGGGCCGTCGGCCTTGGACGCAGCACTCTGGGGACCCCGGGCGCAGGAAGAGGCAGGCCTGGGGCTCCCCGCGGCGCCCGGACGGGGACCGGCCTCCGGGCCGCCAGAAGCAGCGGGCTGGCAAGGGGCGGGACTGAGCCAGGCCTCGGTACGGTGACACACAGTCCAGGGACCCCCCGCTCGGTGGCCCCCGCGGTTCAGTGAAATAAATTGAGTGCTGCAGCCCCCGGGCCGCCTGCTCCTTTGAGCCTCGACGCCGGGACCTGCCTGGGCCTGAATGGCGGAGATGCTAGCTCTAAGGGGAGATGGGGGGGGGGGGGGGGGGCGCCGGCCAGGCAGCCACCCGCCCCCGCCCCGCCCCTCCTGCCAGGGGAGAGCTGGCCGGGAGGAGGCCCCCCCCACCCCCCCCGCTGGTCCCCACCGCGCGCGCGGGCGCGCGCGCACAACACACACACACACACACAGACACACACACACAGACGTCAGCCTGTGCTTGCTGGTCTTTATTGGGGCGATGATGGGGGTCCGAATAAATATGGGCGGGGACGCCACTCGGGGGGCACGGTGCGGGGCTCACCGGCAGCCGCACTCGGTGGCCACCATGTTGGGCACGTGGTGCGCGCTGATGCGCTGCTCCGACAGGCTGATGAGGAGCTTGCCCGCGTAGGCCGTGGGCACGCAGCAGGGCGGGCGCGCCAGGGCGGCGCCGCGGGCCTGCATCTTGAGCAGCAGCACCACGTGGTTGCCGTAGCGCGGGTTGCGGTCGGACTGCGGCCAGCCGCACGCGCCCTGGCAGTTGTTAGCCTGGTACGTCTCCGGGATGAGCACGGAGCGCTCGGCGCGCAGGTCCACGCTCAGCT